GTGGTTCCTCCTGACTTCTACTTCCAATTTGCTATCCAAATTGATGGCTGGTACATTCAGGCCAGGTCTATTGCCAGTTGTCTCCTAACACTTCTAATCCTTTCCTTTATCCTTCCAGCTACTTGCAGTCATGGAATTACCTATACCAGGGCTTCTGTGAGGCTAGGGTAGTCGAGTAACAAAGCCTACAATGACTGGAGCCATAAGGTAAGATAGGTGATATGAAATTGTCCCCTTTGAGATTTATCCAAAACAGCATTTCCCCAAGTCTCAGTCTAAGATGGGAGGGAGCTTAAAATTCTGGGTGTCACCATTATTTGACTGACCCCTCTTTCTCAACAAATAACCTTAATGTATAGAAAGCCCAATTACTGGATCCAAAATCTAATTCAAAATTAATCTTGCTCTAGGCCAATCAACTCTTTGTTCTAGGGGCTCTGACTCTTATTCTCTGATTTACTCATAGACCAGAATTCCACCCTACCCCATGTCACTCACACTTGCCATGGAGAGAGGATACTACCCCAGGTGCCTGCTCTTGTCTGATAATTTCCTCCTCTTGGTACTTGACACAATGGCATGGAGTTTTCGCCATTGTGGTCAGAAGATAATATAAATGATCTGAATTTTAATTGTATCAGTCCCTAATTATTCAGCCTAGGAACAAAACAGACAAGAATCCATAACATATGATAAATGATTATATTTTTATTGAGGGAAAATAAGTACATGAACGAGGGAGTTCAGACTTTTAGCAGACTCAGGGAACACAAGCGATCTGGGGAAAGAGTGTGGGAGTTGAGGTGAAGATGATGCACTTGGTGGCACCTAAAGGCCCTAAGAACACTCTGAATGGGCCACTGTCTGCTCCACAGTGGTGCCGTCATGCGTGACCACGTAGCTGATCGCACGGTAAGATTGCCACTTGTTGGGCGTCAAGCTCAGGTAGCTGCTGGCTACATACTTGTTGTTGCTCTGTTTGGAAGGCTTGGTGGTCTCCACGCCCTCCTTGATGGGGTTGCCATCTCCCTTCCAGGTCACCGTCACAGAACGGGGGTAGAAATCGTTCATCAGACACACCAGTGTGGCCTTTTTGGCTTCAGTGAGCTCCTCCGAGGAGGGTGGGAAGAGAGTGACTGAGGGTCCAGACGTGGGCTGACCTGTCAAGAGGAAAAGGGTGGGTGAAGGTAAAACATGGGTTTGGTGGTTGAGAGTCCATAGAGGGAGCTCCTGGCCTCAGTCATGGGCGAACAGCTGCCTAGATCCAGATACTGGGTGGTGCTTGACCCCTGAGGACAGGCAGTGATGACTGGGATTGCTCTCCTCTGTTGAGACTCTCAGTGCCCTAATCTGGCAGTTTTGTCCTCTATTTGACCTGTTCACATTAGGCTCACTTGACTCTTCACCCTCTATGCCCTGATCCAGATCCTGTCAGCTGATCTGGTCCAGCTGGCATCAGTCTTGAGGGCTCATCTTCCCTCAGCACATCTGACTATCTGAGATGTTCCCTGAAATGCCCTCTTCTCATTCTCTCCCCTCAAGTCATCTTCAGGTGTGCAGCTTTCACCCTATATTTTCATGACAGACAGAGCTTCTTGCCCACACTCCTCTGATACCTTTCTGCAGCTTCTGACTCACCCCAGCAGTGAACAAAGAGGAAAAGGCACATCACCATGGATAATTGTCAAGGGAATCTGCAGTTCCTCTTTATGGTGAGAATGCTTATACCTGAGCTCTCAGAAATCTTTCTGAGAGCTCTTGCTTCCCCATGGAGTTATTCAGGGGAATGTCTCTCTGTTAAGGGGAACTGGAGGAGTGATGGAATCTGACTGTCCCCTGTCCCTAGGAGTCGAATGCGCACATCTTACAGGTATCTTTCCTCCCATGGTGATACAGTGGGGTTCCTGGGGTTCTGATGTATTCCCTTTCTCCTAGAGTTTCCTAGAGATGCCTCTCCATTCCCATGAGACAGGGAGAGCTTTCCTTTCTCATGGGAAGCCTTTCCTCCATACCGTGCCCTGTTTTCTCCTTCCTCAATTCCCCAGATCCAGGACTCACTTCAGAGTTCCCCTCTGGCCTCTCAGAACTCATAAGAGACATAACACGAGAGGCTGAGCCTTTCCATACTACATCCCCATCCCATGGTCCAACTGCCCTCCTAAAAGCCCCCAGACCCAGGAGTCCAAAGAAGAACGTTTTCGGAACAGAGATTTGCACGACAGCGTGAAAAAACAAGAGTGGGAAAATATCACTAATCCTTTTATAAGTGAGGGCGGAAGGGTGGGGGACTACACGGGACTCTACAGAAGGGCTGAAAGGGAAGATACAATAGATAAAGGTTGTAACCCCAGGCAGATCCCGGAAGGGCTGTAATGACAGAAAAACAAACACAAATTTCAGTGTGATGCCAAAGGAGAGGAAAGACATGGACTCAGTTGGGTCCCGGAGCCAAACACTTAACACAGTGATACATTCTTAAACACAAACTCTCTTTTCACTCAGCACCTCCCCTACCCCGTGACACCCCTCCCTGCCCCACCTGCAGCTGCATGGGAGCCCTAAGTCCAGCTTCTACTCTTAGGGGCTAGTCTGGCTGATGGGAGGTTTAGAGAAGTACCCACCTCCCCAGCTGAAATTTCATCTTTTGTATGGTAAGGCTCATGCCACCCAGTGATGGCAGGCAAGGATGTCTTACATCATATCATGTTCAGGTAATGTCTTTCCTGGAAGCAGCTGGACCCTGGTTCACCTTGTCTTGGGAATGTGATATGGAAAGGAGAAGTTCTGTTCACTGCACACACATGACAGAGCCTGTGCCCTCTGCAGAGTTGAGATCCTTGTGTAGGTTCACCATGCTAGGCCAATTCTTGTGAAAATGTCATGATGGCCATGGTTGCAGCAGATGATGGGCTTTTGTTAGTGTGCATGTGCGTTCCTATGGATGAGAATGAAAGAAGTGGTATGGGTGACGGTACCTATTAGCAAAAATTCATGTCGTTGTTTGAACACTGCAGTCATGGAATTACCTATACCATTCAAACTTCCAGATTCTTATGGAAGACAGACCTTGGAGGCCACTTCCGTGCACAGCTATATCCTTGGCACATTTCTAGAAATTCATTCTTGACGTTGCCTTTTGGGCAATCAAATTGGGTACTAGGAATCTCAAGCCTGTGTTGTTATCTGTAACATATAAGTCAGAAATGGATCAGAGAACAGAGTTGTTCTGTTGCCCAGGGTCCTGATATGGCCAATGTGGGAGAATTCTCCCAGGGGGGAATCTGAAGGGCAAGGATGCATGTGCATGGATTCAGGTGCCTGGTGTGACTCTGAAAGGGTCAGGTAGAGGCAGAGAGCACAAGAAAGAAGACCCTTAAGCAAGGCTTAAGTTTTGAGAATGGAGTTGGAGTATGTTCCATCAAGGGGCCCAGCTGTGACAGCAATATAGGTTTAGTGGCCCATAGTTATGACATCTTCAGGGAAGTATGGAAAAGCTTCTGAAGCATACAAGGTCATATATCAAATGTCCTTGTGCAGGTTAAGACACTGCCAAGGCCTACAGAACAAGTTAATGCCACAAATCCCAATATTCCTAAACATGTTGACTCTCCTGAACCAATTAAGGACTCCTGCAAGACTCTTTAAGCACCAAGATTCCTGTTACTAGTCCTGGGAACTTGAGGTGAGACTGAGAAGTAAGAAAGGCTGGGTTTCTGTTTTCATGTGTCTGGTCATGGTTAAGTTCAAGGTAACCTAATAGGGGGTTGGGATCTCAAAAGTGAGAATGTTGAATTTTGGAGTCAGTTCTGGGCAGAATTGTGAGGGAACCGGTGATATAACCAGAATAAGATGGTATGAAAGACTTAGTTTAGAGTGTTATTGAACAGAGCTTGGAAACTAGTAATTGTACCACGGAGCACTGTCCTCCCATTGTTCATTGATTTGTTCGAGTGGGCAACAGTATTGTCTCCATTGTGAGATATGTTGTTACTGTTTTTGGCATATCCAATACACCACAGGGAGCTTGCCACGCTCTGCTGTGCTGCCCAGATATTCTTGGTAGCTTGCCAGGCTCTCTGAGAGGGAGAGAAGTAATGAATATGGGTGGGCCATGTGCAAGGCAAATGCCCTACCACTGTACTATTGCTCCAGCCATATACCAGGACGGAGAGTCAAAAGTCTAAGATTGATCTAGATCATTCAAACCAGGATTCTAGAGAATGGTTTCTGGATCACTGGCTCACTGTGGCCCCTCTCCAGTTGTACTTTTAAACTGGTGTCCAACTTGATGGCTGGAACATTCAGACTAGGTCTATACTAGTGGTATCCTGACACTTCTTACCCTTTCCTTTACTTTTCCAGCTAGTTGCACTCATGAAATTACCTATACCAGATTTCTGGGAAGCTAGGGTAGTCCATTGACAAGGCCTAAAATGACTGGAGCTGTAAGGGAACACAGATGATGTGAAACAGTCCCCTTTGAGACTTATTCCAACCAGCCTTTCCCCAAGTCTCAGTCTAAGATGGGAGGGAGCTTAGAGTTCTGGATGTCAACACTATTTGACTGACCCCACTATGGGATGGATAATTGAGACCCTCAATAGGGGAGGGGATCTTAAAGCCGCTTTCTCAACAATTGACCTTAATGTATAGAAAGCCCAATTACTGGATCCAAAATATTGTCCAAACCTAATGTTGCTCTAGGCCACCTACCCTTTCTTCTAGGGTCCTGACTCTTTTTCTCTGATTTACTCATAAACCCAAACCCCCACCCTGCCCAATGTCACTCAAATTTGCCATGGAGAGAGGATTGTACCCCAGGTCCCTGCTCTGCCTGATAATTTCCTCCTCTTGGTACTTGAACCAGTGGCATGTAGTACTCATTGTTGTGGTTGGAGGATAATATAAGTAATCTGAATTTTAATTTTATGGGTTCCTAATGATTCAACCTATGAACAAAAACAAAGAATTCACATCATATGATAAATGATTATATTTTTATTGAGGGATAGTAGTTACATGAAAGAGGGAGTTGAGACTTACAGCAGACTCAGGGAACACTTGGGATGTGGGGAAAGTGTTTGGGAGTTGAGGTGAGGATGATGCACTTGGTGGCACCTAACGACCCTAAGAACACTCTGAAGGGGCCACTGTCTTCTCCACGGTGCTGACTTCGTGAGTGACCAGGCAGCTGATCGCACGGTAAGATTGCCACTTGTCGGGCGTCAAGCTCAGGTAGCTGCTGGCCGCATACTTGTTGTTGCTCTGTTTGGAAGGCTTGGTGGTTTCCACGCCCTGGTCGATGGTGGTGCCATCTCCCTTCCAAGTCACCGTCACATGACCGGGGTAGAAGTCATTCATCAGACACACCAGTGTGGCCTTTTTGGCTTCAGTGAGCTCCTCCGAGGAGGGTGGGAAGAGAGTGACTGAGGGTCCAGACTTGGGCTGACCTGCAAAGTCGGGTGTGAGACAAAAGATGAGAGGTTCAGAGTCCACTGAGCCCAAGATACTCGTGTTTGTGTTTGCGCTATCCACACCAAGGAGTCAGACCTGACCAAAGAGCTATGAGGAGACTCTGAGTCTAAGGATACTTAGAAGGGTGATGGCCAGGTGTTCTGCAAACAGCTCTCAACTTTCTTGGGAAACTCTCCTCCTCACCAGCTCCCATTGTCTTTCCTGAAACTCTTGTGGGCCCTGTTTCCTGCATAACTGGCTGAAGATCACTCACTTGCCTGTGCTTCTCAGGGGTGAGATTTCTGTCCTCAGAATGAATGAATTGGGGCTGGAGTGATAGTACAACGGGTTGTGCTTTTGCCTTGCATGCGACCTAACCCAGATTTGATTCCCACCATCCCATATGGTACGGAGTACAGCCAGGAGCAATTCCTGAGTGCATGAACCAGGAGTTACCCCATTCATTGCTGATTGTGACCAAGAAGCAAAAACAAAACAACAACAAAAAAAGAATAAATTGAATTGAGTACCTCACCAGCCTTCTTGTCTTTGGGTATAGTCTACTTGGCGTCCCTTCTGCAAAGTATCACTAGAGATTTTGTGCTATGGTATCTGCCATTCTATGTGCAAGGAACCCTACAGTGTGTCATTTCATGGACCTCCACCAGCTTTCTGACTTTCAGCACCGACCCTTCTCTCTTCCTTCTGTCCTGCAGGGTTTCCTGTCTTCTCGATAACCTCACGGCTCTCCTGATTTTTCCACGAATCAGGGGAGTGCATCCACCCTTGAATTCCCCAAGATCTATAACCTACATCTCATAAGCCTGGGCAACTTCCTTGTGCCTCTAACCCATGTCACCATTCTTTGTTCTGAATATTCTGTGCCCCAAAAAAACCTCCCTTTGGTCACAATCTTAATATTCTTTGTCCTCTATTCTCCCAAGACAATTTAGGCAATTCTCCTTATTTCCAGAGAGGTCAAGTTTTCCACTACAAGCACAGATAGGAGAAAACAGCAGAAAATGTTGGAATCAAGCCTGACATTGGGGCATCTTCTTGATGTCTATTCCTCTGTCTATTCCTCTCCCTCCAAAGAAGGACAGGTGGTGGCGAGAGACAAGCAGCACAGTCTGAGCAGGACAGGGAAGGGATCAGAGCCTGAGATTCTGTTTGCAACATTGAGCACATTGAGAGAGGCACACAAAAGGATGGGGAAAGGAAATAAAACAGAAAATATAGCAAAACCCTTGAGAAGATCAGGGAATTGGGGAAGCAGATGTCACTCACCAAGGACAGTCAGCTTGGTTCCTCCGCCGAACACCCAACACAGTGACAAAGTCTCATACAAAAACCCTTCCCTGGGATGACCTGCCCCACTCTATATTATAAACACCCCCCTGCAGCTGTGTGGAGGAAGTTAGGCAGCAGTGGGACCACACACCCTCCAGCCTCCCTTCCTAGCACATGTAGGACTAGTGTCTGCAGCTAGAGTGCCTGCCTGAAGCTCTATCTCCCAAGGCACCTTAAAGAGGCTTACGTTTCTCTTGCTAGTACATTTCCCTCCTACAGTTGTCCTTGACAAAATAAACTTAATACAGTGTATTTTTGTCACTGCATGGTGAATGTCCAAATAAGGGGCACAGTGTCACTCTAGGGAGATAAAACTAGATCTTTTCTAGAAGCCAGCGGTTAGTGGATGTCCTCTATTCCATCCCACACCCCCATAGTTTCTCAGGGAGAGGTGAATTTTACTAAAGGCCAGTGGTCCTTGAAATCTTCCCACTAAACACAACATTGAAAAATAACGTGGCTGGGGGCTGGAGCAGATAGGCGTTTGCCTTGCACGCGGCTGGCCCGAGTTTGATTCCCAGCATCCCATATGGTCCCATGAGCACTGCCAGGGGTAATTCCTGAGAGCAGAAGCAGCAGTAACCACTGTGCTTTTGGCCCCGTGTGACCTCCCAAAAGCAAGAAAATTAAAATAAAGGAGCTGTACCTTCCTTTGGAAAATTCTGAATTACAGCATTCCTGGTTAGTGGGGCATGATTTCACTTCTCACTCTCCAGGTTACCCTGAGGACCATCTAATCTCTGACTGCAGATGGTCAAGTGTATGATTGTTGTTGTGCCTTGTTGATAGGTCAGACCACAGCAGCCCCTGACAAGGGACATTAATCACATATTCCATGAAAAGAGCTCATTGTGCCAATTCCAGAGTGGGGAAGAAGATACACAAATAATGGAGAACTGTTTGACTCGAGGAAAACAGGAGCCTAAGGTTGCCAGGGTGATATTAGGTCAACCAGGAACTACCCAAAGAAGTTCTCTGAGGAATAACACATCCATCATTTTCCACCACATTGCCATCATCCCTTGGAGGGTAACCACAGTAGATATTGAAAACTAATAGATTCACACTCTACTGTTGGCATGTTATGAAAAATTAAGTGTTGATTGACTTCAGGTTCAATATCCTTCAAGTGAGGCCTCAACTACCTACCAGGTCATGTTGAAATCAGCTTCCTGCTAGGTCACTGTGAAGTTGATTCTGACTACATCCGTAACAACATATACTCAGCTTTCATCTACCTCAGTTTCACCCCACGTTTTCAGTGGTAATGATAGGAACCTTAGTGTCTCAAAGAGTGTCCCTGTGTCCCTGAGTTGTTCGTAAGAGTCAAAGATACTTGGAAATTGACAACATGTTTTATAATAGATTGAATCTCCTCCACTGGACTTGTCTGTGTTTTACTATCCAAGTTATATTGTGAAAATTTGTGAACTGTCCTATTTAATGATATATGGGACACAATTCATTTCTCCTTGACTCCTTGAGTTTCCTATCTCTCTCATTTCCCATCTCCTTTCCAAGAAGGTCTAATCCAGTTGTCTGACCTTCAGGAAACATTCTGATTCTGGTTCATAGTTGCCAATGACAAACAGGATTTATCTGGTGTCTAAAAGATTGAATTAATTGGATGACGTAGATAGGACCTCCGTTCGGAACTCTCTTCAAACCTTTAGCAAAGCCCAACGACACTGCTGTATATAAGGATACACATAGATGTCACATAATAAATGATTAGCTCTTTATTGAGAAGCAAAAGTTACAGGGAGAGGAACTCACATGGTCTGAGCTGACCTAGGGAAGGTATATCAGGGTTTCAGGTAGAAATATGGGAAATAGGGTTTGTGGGTGAGGAAGGCCCTTGAGTGGATTTTCTCAAAGGCCTAAGAACACTCTGAAGGGCTCACTGACTTCACCACAGTGTTGACTTCATGCTTGACCTCACAGGTGTACGCATTGTGAGATTTCCAGTTGTCGGGCGTCAAGCTCAGGTAGCTGCTGGCCACATACTTGTTGTTACTCTGTTTTGTTGGCTTGGTGGTCTCTATGCCCTTTTCGATGGGTTTGCCATCTTCCTTCCAGGTTACCGTCACAACACCCGGGTAGAAGTCGCTCATCAAACATACCAGTGTGGCCTTTTTGGCCTCAGCAATCTCCTCAGAGGAGGGCGGGAAGAGAGTGACTGAGGGTCCAACCTTGGGCTGATCTGCAGTGGTAGGTAGGAGGAAGTAAGGTCAGAGATGGGTTATCTATCATGAGAACTCCTGTGCTCGGTGGTGGTCATGGGTATAGGCTTCTGAAGATTGATCAGGACCATTTCACTAGCAGGGTCCAAGCCAGGGAGTGTGTGTTGGGATGTTCCTCAAAAGAAATCTTCCAATCTTCCCTGGATACCCGAGTCTAAGTTCTTGTCAACACTTTTTTGTGGCAACCTCTTGACCTCTTTTTATGCCCCATGAACCTCCTGTGCCTGCTTCCTCTGACTGACAGATTTACTGTCACCAGAGGGAATCAAATGGGCTTTCCACTTATAAAATCAATGTTTCTTACTTATGGGTATTTTCCCATATCTTTGAACTTTGGCTCTTTTTTTAAAAATCAAAGCAAAACAAACAAATAACAACAAAATAAACCCAAAGAACTAAATCTGCTAACTTTCCATGCGATAAGACTTTGACCTATTATAGAGCCTATCTGCCTCTCCTCGGATCTTTTTATTCTAAAATTTATTTTGGCACCTCCAACCAAATAAGTCACATCAATACAGCTTTCTTGCCATGGATTCTGCTGTCTTTGTTATAAGCACATGTTCATGGGCAAGTGAATATGTGTCCTGAAGATACTCAGGAACTTACCTTATCCTCACACTAAGGATCTTTCTCCCAGCTTTTTGGCATCTACACTATTCTTCCACCCTATTCTGTCCTGATATCCTCAGGTGACCCTTGATTGTAGCCTAACTCAGGACTCTGCACAGCAGCCCTCCACATAACTGGGGAATCCTTTATCTCCTACAATGTTACTATTCCCTGGTGCCTAGTCTCAAAGGCCTATAGTCAGTGTTTCCCAAGCATCATCTTTTTATATTCTAGATCCCTCTGAGATATCCTCAGGGTCATTCTCTCATTTGTCCTACTTCCCTCTTCCCTTTGAGTCAGGAGCCCCTAAATGCTGCTCAGGGATAAAGCAGATTCATTAGGACCCAAATAGGGGAAACTAAAACAAAGCAATTCTAAGGTGCCCCTAGATCCTGGAAAAAAGGTGTTTCTCTATAAAACATCAGCTCCAACATCTGCCTCTGACCTCAGAGGTAAAGGAATAAAGATTATCCACTGAAGTAAGGGTGAGAGATAGGCAGGTGAACACTCCCCTGCAAGTCCCCCAAGTCTGGGGATTGGGATTCACAAAAGGCTTTGAGAAGACACAAAAAGAATTGGAAGCAGTGGAAAATCACACAAACATCAGAGAGAGTAGGGGAGGAGAGACTTACCTAGGACAGTCAGCTTGGTTCCAGCGCCGAACACGATACACACTGACACAGGCTGTAGCAAAAACCTCTTTGTGGGATGCCCTGCCCCACCCACTAGAGCTCAACCACAATCCAGCTGTGATGGAAGAAATCAGGCCACAGGTTGATGTCTGCTCAGACGGGGACCACTTTTCTCCTACTCCCCAACAGATAACATGACAGAGGGCCCCAAGTTCCAGCAACAGGATTCTTGAAAGCAATTCTCCCAGAGGAAGTTAGTATATGATTGGTTATTCCTATATTGTCTCCTTGGAACTAGAGGAGCTGGAGGAACTAGAGGAACTAGAGGAAATTTTTGTCACTGTCAGTGGAGTTAAAGAGAAATGGATAGGACATCTCATCTATTGATGTTCAATCAGCCTAATTCCTTTGTGAAACCATGAACTGAGAAGGGAAGCTCTCTTATCTCTGCTACTTTCCAGGAAATGGCAGTTTGGTCTGTGTTCAGGAACCTCTAGAACCTTTTTTTTTACCACTAGAACCTTGATATTCCCACAACCATCACCTAGAGTGACTCAGATTTTTCTTCCTATGGATATACTGTACTGTTGGGTATGAGTCTGTAAGGTGCCATATGAAATATTAGGTCTTTTCTAGGGTTATCTTAAAAGAACTTTGCCACCCACAAAATCTGGTCTCCTTTTGGGGAGGGTCAGGTGTATAATTATTATTTTGTCTCGTTCAAAAGGAAGCCATGAACTGCATTCTGACTATGATCTTAAATTTAACTTCTTAAGAAAGAGAACCCAGGTCAGTGACCAATTCCAGTGTGGGGCAAGGACATCACAGGTGAATGAGAACATGTTGTCAACCAGAAAGAAAGAATCCTAGAGATACATGGGGTCATATTAGGGCATCTAGGAGCCACCATAGGAAGCTCCCAATTGAAACCAGAATGCCACCATCCCTAGAGGATAATCACAGAATATAGAAGCAGGCTGAAGTATTCACATCCCAAAGTCAGCATGCTATGAAACATCAACTGTTCAGATGAGGAGATGGTTGAAACCAACTTATCATTCTAGGCATGTTAAACAAAGGAGAGACTATATTCCTTATTTATTTATTTTTTTACTAGATATGAGACAAATTGCCAGATGGTTGAAGAGTAAGGACACCTGCCCTCCTTTCCAGAAATATTGCAACCTTCTCCAGAAAGATAAGACAGAACTGAAATACCAGACTCTTTCATTTCTTCCATCTCTGCAGGCACATCTGCTTGCTACATTTTCCAGGTTCACATCCATACCCTCTGCCCATAACTCTGCTCACTGCTGTTTGTACCCTGAATTGCATACTGTGTATTCATCACACATCATGCACTTATACCAACTACAGTGAACAACAGACGCTGGGGTCACTCTGATTACTGCCAATAACATGCTACTTATAACTGATTTCCAGCTCCAGTCAGCTATCACACACAACATTCCTCTCAAAAAGTAGTAGCAGTGGTAAGAAACCATAGAGTCTTAACACTTAAGCATACGAGATGTAGGGTCAAGGTTGCATGGAAAATAGCCCTATAATCCACCCAAGGCTTCAAAAATCACAAACCAGAAACAGAAAAGAGTCACTGGAGGAAGACCTGTAGGAAAGGAAAAGAACAACAATCAGCCTAATCCCTCAGAGAAATCTCAGAGGGATGAGATTCACTATCAGGATACAACAGACACAATGGGGAAGCTACGTAGAAGTCTGCCAAGTTCAATGAGGGAAGATAATAACATCGAGGGTGTTACCAGTATCAACCAGCTCTATAACCTCTCAGATAAATTAAGAATTCAGTGATGGTATCTATACACAATGAAATATTACTTGTCTGTAAAAAAGAAAGATGAAGTTATGCAATTTGTCACTACATGGATGGAACTGAAGGGTATCATTCTGAGCAAAGTCAGCCAGAAGGAGTTGGACAGGTACAGAATGAGCTCTCTTGTACTTGGGATATAAAGACACATGATAAAGGAATAACTGTCAAAAGCAGCAGAACCTGAGAACTAAGATGGGGAAAGAGAAAAAGAGACCGGGATGGGCAGGGGATGACTCAGTGGCAGAAGTGGTTTCAGGGAAAGGAAAACCCTAAGGAAATGCTGGAAGGAAGCAGACACTAGTGGTGGGTGTGGGGTTGGAATGTTATGTTTATGAATCCCTGTCATCAACAGTATTGTAAATCATGGTGACTACAATTTAAAAAAATGTTATCTCATGGTGACTCAATAAAAAAGAATAAAATAATTCAAAAAATTGTGGGGTCATACCCAGCTCAGGGGTTAGTCCTGGCTCCGCACTCAGGAATTACTTCTGAAGGTGCTCAGGACACCATATGGGATGCTGGGGATTGAATCTAGTTGGCCATGTGCAAGGCAAATGTCCTACCTGCTGTACTATTGCACAAGCCCCTAAAATAAATTTTTTAAAAAAAAAGGAAATCAATAAAAAATTAACACTTACAAACTGAACAAAATTAATTAATTAAAATTTTCTAACTCAAAGTGTACATTATAGGCATTAAAAAAGAAAGAGGAGGTCAGAGATATTTGAAAAAAAAAAGAGGGGCCAGGAAATAGTAGCAGATAAAGTGCTTGCCTTGCACATGGTCTACTACAGTTCAATCCCCAGCAGACCGTATTAACCCCCTAGTCCAACCAGCATTCTTGAATGCAGAGCTAGGAGTAATTCCTGAGCACCACAAGGGGTTACAAAAAAAAAAGAATTGAATATTGTAAGGGAGCAACTAGTGGTCAGAGAAGAATTGGAGATTAATAGACCTGAGCTTGGGGGGTAAGGGGTGGAGACTATAGGACATTAGTGGAGGGAAGTGGGTACTTTGTTGGTGGGTATGGTGTTGGGAAGATATGTGCATAAAAGTATCACTAGCAGTGTTAGAAATAACAGTATCTCAATTAAAAAATGGAGGAAAGTAGCTAAAACATTCCTATGATGCATCCTTCCCACTTAATGGAAGAAGTTATTAAACATCAAAGTAGTCAATGCCACTCGAAGATTGTCAATGCCACATGAGTCCCTGATAAAAAGTACACAAGCACCATGGAAGTCAGTTTTGCCAAAGTCCAACATGCAGCTTCACTGAACATGCCATAACCATGAAGCAGGAATATGAGACCAGAGAAGCACCCACATACAGCCTGGGAGGCTGTGCCTGACTGAGAAACAGTCCTGGGACCAGCAACTTCACCCCTGTAGCTGCTTCCAATTAAGGCAGAGCTAGAGCTATTTGGGAGTTATTTATGGACACAAAGTTTTAGCAAAACATCTATCACACAATTCCAAACCATAACCAATATCATTATAATGGAAAACCACATAATAACAATAACATCAAGTAGAGACTCCGGTAAGCACAACAGTTATGAGGCATTTGATTAAATTGTATTCTTGATATTTATGAACTATTTAAAATTTCTGTGTAGATCTGATAATGATAATGGTTGTTTTTAGAGCATATCTTTCATTGAAAGTGAAATATTTGGACATAAAAATATGAAATCCTGGATTTGCATCATAAGAACATTGCACAAAGGAGGAATTTTTCTGTGGTGGATGTGTAAGCATCATCACTGAATTGATTATTTGGAACTTGTTATAAACAGGTTTAATAGACTTTTTCAACCTATGAAAGCATAGGGATTTTTTATTCCTCCGTTTCATTTTTCTTTGTTAAAATATTAGAAGAAAATCTTTGGAGACAACTTTGGTACTAGTAGATTTTTAAGTTTAATTATTAGGAGCGATAGCACAGTGGGTAGGGTGTTTGCCTTGCCGTAGCTAACATGGCTGACCCGCGTTCGATTCCTCTGCCCCTCTCGGAGAGCCTGGGAAGCTACTGAGAGTATCTCGCCGCATGGCAAAGCCTGGTAAACTACCCGTGATGTATTCAATATGCCAAACACAATAACAGGTCTCACAATGTTACTGGGCCCGCTCAAGCAAAATCAATGAACAATGGGAGGACAGTGACAGTAACAGTGACAGTTCAGATCACATATTTACAATAATGCCAACATGTACGGTTTTGATGTACAGTTACCTAACTCACCACCACCAAGGTGCCCAAGATCCTCCACCAGTGTCCCAAAATATACCTTATCATCGCCTCCCACTCACTTGCTATTCTTAAGTTCTGTTTCCTAAGTATTCCAGGATCAAGAGTCTTTTATTGTTTGATACTTTATATCCCATTGTTTGATTTCTTTATATACCACATATGAATGAGATGTCATACTCTGCTTTATAACCATCAGGGAAATTGAGATCAGAAGCCCCTGTGTGCTGTTTGCTCATTTTCACTTCAACACTAAGATCTATTAATGGGGCCAAACAGATGATTTGAAACACTACTACCCCTAACCCCTTTACATATTATGATTTGGTTGTAATATGTTGCTTTTGCCTGAGAATTCCCTTTTTATTTAATTTTAAGTCCCTGAACTGTTTTGGTTGTCTGATAGCTCTGGTGAAATGCGATTCGAGACTCCCTGTCCTAAGGGCTAATCCCAGGGTCTTAAGGACACAGAGTCTCCTGGGCCTGTATCTCTGTAGACTGGCAATTCCTGCTGTCAGAAACCTGGTAGTGAAGTTAGATTATGTAGTCCTGTAGAACCTGAATTTGCCATAGCCCTCAGACAGGTCACATTCACTTTGTCTTCAGCTAGGCTACTCCCTTCCAACTCTTCTTCATCACTTAATCACTTAACTTCCCGTTAGTCGTCGATTTGCTCGAGCGGGCGCCAGTAACGTCTCCATTTGTCCCTGTCACGTGCTAGTGTAGCCCAATGGCATCTCTTCGCTCCGGGAACATGGAGGGCCTCAAACCGATTGTTCATGATCTTGACAAAGAAGTCTGACCATCTGGTAGGTGGGCGGCCACGCGGTCTCTTGATATCCCGTGGAATCCAATCAGTAACAGCTCTAGTCCAACGGTCGTCTTTAAATCTCATTACGTGACCAGCCTGGCAAGCTATCCGCTGTGTATTCGATATGCCAAAACCAGTAACTACAACTGGTCTCATTCACCTTCCAACTCTAATCCTGAATTTCTACTGACTAGCCTTCCCTAAGATATGACTGGATGTCCATTCTCTGCCCAGTTTAATGCCCTCTCCCATGAATGCATTTTTCTCAGCTCACCCCTTATTCATGCTGACATCAGCTCAGTACATTAGACACTCTGACTTCTGTCAACACTGAGGGTCCTGGTAGGTCACCTTGAATTTGAGCCCGTCTGTCAGAACATAAGCTCAGGCTTCTTATGCCTCAGATTCATCACAAGTTCTCAGTCTTAGTAGTAGGAATATTGATGCCTTTAAAAGTATTCCAGAGTCCCCTGAGTTTTTTTTATGATTGTCAACAAATTTGGGTAATTATTAGGCTGTATGACATTGGATTCTTCTGTAGAATTTGGTGTTTTTTATGGTAACATGCACTACTAGTGTTTGAAAATTTTCTTTATGTTTGGCAGTCTTCAAACCTTTCCACACCTCCCTATTGATATCATGACCACATTCCCCTAACACATTGCTGTCCCCGCTGGGTTCTTTAGTAGAACTCCAGCTCCACTCCTTAATCCTGGGCCACCTTTTGAGATTTTCTTCCCTCATGTTGCTCTAGATGTTCTTCTCATTTTTCCCTGATTCTCTCTTAAAATTCTCATTCTCTTGTCCCTTCCCAGGAAGACAGGATTGCTGCACACATTTTCTGGCTGTGTAGCACATAACATGAGTTTCCATTAGGGTGGTTGGTGAATAAGGAAAAAAGAATCTCAACTGTAGCTGTCTGGTCCCTAATTACTGATGTTTTAACTCAGAGATACACCAAACTCATAATATACAACTGATGATAAATGATTAAGTCTTTTATTTGGGAGCAGTAATTACATAGAAGGGTATATGGGTAGGGGATTCAGGGATCCAGGTGAGATCTGTGAAAGGGTATCTGGGTGAGGAAGGTGACTTTGGTGGCATCTAAGGGCCCTAAGAACACTCTGAAGGGGCCACTGTCTTCTCCACGGTGCTGACTTCGTGAGTGACCAGGCAGCTGATCGCACGGTAAGATTGCCACTTGTCGGGCGTCAAGCTCAGGTAGCTGCTGGCCGCATACTTGTTGTTGCTCTGTTTGGAAGGCTTGGTGGTCTCCACGCCCTGGTCGATGGTGGTGCCATCTCCCTTCCAAGTCACCGTCACATGACCGGGGTAGAAGTCATTCATCAGACACACCAGTGTGGCCTTTTTGGCTTCAGTGAGCTCCTCCGAGGAGGGTGGGAAGAGAGTGACTGAGGGTCCAGACTTGGGCTGACCTGCAAAGTCGGGTGTGGGTCAAAAGATGAGAGGTTCAGAGTCCACTGAGCCCAAGACACCCATGTTTTTGTGTGGGATATCCACACCGAGGAATCGGTGCTGATCAAGAAGCTATGAGGAGACTGAGTCTGAGGATACTTAAAAGGGAGATGGGTCAGGTGTTCTTCAAATGGCTCTCACCTTTCCTGGGAAACTCTCCTCCTGACAAGCTCCCATTGTCTTTCCTGAAACACTTGTGGGCCCTGTTTCCTGCACAACTGACTTAAGACTGCTCACTTGCCTGTGCCTCTCAGGGGTGAGAGTTCTGCCCTCAGAATGAATGATTTGAGTACCTCACCAGCCTTCTTGTCTTTGGGTATATCCCTCTATAGTCAACTTGGAGTCCCTTCTGTAAAGTATCAGTAGTGATTTTATTCCATGGCATCTGTCTTTCTATGTAGAAGGGACCTCACAGTGTGTCATTTCATGGTCTTCTGCCTGTTTCTTGTTTTTCACACAGACCCTTCTTCCTTTCTTCTGTCCTGCAGGGTTTCCTGGCTGCCTGGGTATCTAAAGGCTCTCCTGACAGCTCCTGAGTCAGGAGAATCCATTCACCCTTGAATTTCCCCAAATCTCTAATCTGGATCTGATAAGCCGGTGCAACTTCCTTGTTCCTTTGACTCTGAGTGTTCTATGCCTCTGGGTGGTCATACCCTTAATATATTTTGTTCCCTATTCCCTAGGAGACAATTCTCATAGACAATTCCCCTGCTCAGAGAGATTAAGTTTTCCACTACAATCTCAGAAAGGAGAAAATTGCCGAAAATGTAGGAATCAAGCATGACACTAAGGCATTTCCTTGGGTCACCCTGTCTATTACTCTCCCTCCAAAGAAGGACAGGTGGTGGTGAGAGACAAGCAGCACAGTCTGAGCAGGACAGGGAAGAGAGCAGAGCCCGAGATCCTGTTCGCAACATTGAGCACATTGAGAGAGACACACAAAAGGATGGGGAAAAGCAATAAAACAGAAAAAATTGCACAAACCTTGAGAAGATCAGGGAATTGAGGGGCAGATGACACTTACCAAGGACAGTCAGCTTGGTTCCTCCGCCGAACACCCAACACAGTGACAAAGTCTTATACAAAAACCCTTTTCTGGGTTTAGGGGAGATGACCTGCCCCACTAATATTATAAACACCCCCCTGCAGCTGTGGTGGAGGAAGTTAGGCAACAAGCTGGTGCCTATCAGCAGTGGGGCCACACACCCTTCAGCCTCCACATCTACACATTCAGCTAGTGTCCCTTCTGGCCTGCAGCTCTATCCCCAAGACACCAAGCACCTTATGGAAGTTCGTGGGTCTCTCATTGTGGATTTCTCTTCTACTTTTATCCCTGACAAAATAAACTTAATGGAGTGTATTTTTGTCACTACATCGTGAATGTCCAAATTAGGGGCACAGTGTCACTCTAGGGTGATAAAACTAGATCTTTTCTAGAAACCAGAGGTTAGTGGATGTCTTCTTTTCATCCCACACCCCCATGATTTCTCAAGGAGAGGTGAATTTTACTAAAGGCCAGTATTCTTTGCAATCTTCCCACCAAACAAAACAGATGGAAAGAGAACACCGCTGGGAAAATCTTCTTTGGGAAAATTTTGGATTACAGCAGTCTTGGGAAGTACAGCATGATTTCACTTCTGAAAGCAAATGCCAGTCATGCCCACCAGGTTGACCTGATGAGCCTCTGGTCTCTAGCTGAAGATGGTCACATGTATGTTTGTTGTGCATTTTTCAAAATTGGACCATAGCACCCACTTGATCATGGACATAAATCACACCTCCCAGTAAAGAGCCCATTGTGCCAATTTCAGAGTGGGCAAGATGATGTACATATAATGAATAATTCTTTGATTTCTAGAAAATTGGAGCTCTACAAGTTGCTAGGATGATGTCAAGGCACTCAGGAACCATCTGAAGAAATTCCCAGTAGAAAAACACATCCATCATTTTCAGCCACATTGCCATCATCTCTTGGAAGGTAGCCGTAGTAGATTTTACATGCTAATATATTCACACTCCACAATCAGCATGCTACGCAACATTAACTGTTCATTATGACCAGATGACTGGAACCTGATCATTATTCTTTGCAATGGTGAGTAAAGGAAAAGTCTGAATTTCCTGTTGCTTACCATGTATGAGAGACATTGCAGTGTAAATAAAGAGTAAGGAATGCCTTCACAGACTCATTGCAGCACTTCCCAGGGAATAAGGTAGAGCAAAATTATTTCCATAACACATTCCTTTACAGCAAAAAAAGACTTATTGAACATCAAAGCAGCCAGTTCCACTGAAAGACTGTCAACTCTACTTGGGTCATTTACAAAATGCAGTCAACCTCCCTGCAAGCCAGCTTTGTCAAGTTCAACCTGTAGGCCATTGACCACTGAGGCCATAATCATGAAGCAGAAATATGAAACAAGAGAAACACTTACATACAACCTGGGAGACTGCATCCTGTCTGAAGAATAGCCAGCCCTTGGCCAAGCAACCCTACTCCTGTAGCTGCTTCTAAGTAAGGAGGAGCTAGAGCTATTTGGGAGACACTTATAGACAATAAGCCTTAGTGATGCACTTATGATCACAATTACAAACCATAATCAATCTTTGTATAATTAAAATGGAAAACACAAAATAATAATAACACCAACTATAATAATCCATTAAATGTGCATATGACAATGCTAAAGCATTTGATGAAAGCTATCTTTTATATTTATCAATTATTGATAATTTCTCTGTAGGTTTGATAACATTACATTAGTTATTTTATTTTGTTTTGGGGCCACATCCATTGGTACTCAGGTATTTGCTCTCAGGATGGCTCTCAGGATAGCTAGGGTTGGAGGACCCAAAGGGGAGCTGGAGATCAAATCTGAGTCATTAGCATGCAGTGAAGGTGCCCTGTACCCTGTACTATTTCTCCAATCCCTAGAGATACACTTTAGAAATATTGGGTGATAAATGATTAGGTGGTCTTTATTGAAAAGTAGAAACAGAGAGGTGTAAGACCCACAAATTCTGAGCTGACTGAGTAAGCTGGTATCAAGGATCCAGAAGAGTTCCTGGGTAAGAAAGGAGCTCTTGGGTGGGTCACCTAAGAATTTAATAACATTCTGCAGGGGCCACTATTTCTGAGTATTGCCTTCATGCATGACCTGGCAGCTTAAATAGTTGTGAGAATTCTACTTGCTGGATGTCCTGCCAAGAAAGTGCTGGCTCATCCTTTTGTTCTGTTTTGAGGCCTGGTGATTCTCCCTACCCTGGGTTATAAGGCTGCTCTCCAGTTCTCTGTCAATGATCAGGCACACTAGTAGTGCCTGTTGGTGCTAAGCTCCTCTGTGGACAGAGGGTTCAGATTTGGACTGAGCAGCAGTGTGGAATTGGGGAAATAGAGCAGAAGTTCAAAATCCAAGTGGAAGACCCAGGCATCAGAGCATGTGGTGGATATGCAGGTTTATGTCCAGGTCAGGACCAGGGACCACAGACCAATGTGAGTCTGAGGGTTCCCTACCAGAGGAATGGCTCAGCGTGTTCCTCAAACAACTGTCTTCTGCCCAGGGAAATTCCTCCTGAATACCTACCATCACCTGTCCTCATACCCTCATGTGTTATGGTCTCCCACACAACTGTTTGACATGAACCTTATCCTGCCTCATCCTGACATTTAAGGCAAGTTTCTGTTTAATGGATGATGTGAGCTGTCTGTCCTCTTGTTGATTCTGCTGGAAGGCAGTTTCTTATCTCAACATTCTGTGTTAGGGTTCTCATCAGGTTCATTGCAATAAGGTGTCTCTTTTACCCAATGCTGTCTCTTCTGGAGCTTCTGGATGAGTAAAGAGCTTACATGACTGTATTGTTCGTAACTGTCTTTGAATAACTCTTCTATTATCTACTCTGGCTTATTGGCCATATGACTATTATTTGTGTTGTGCTATCTGTATTTCTTTATGGAAAGAACCCAGGCGTAGTACAATTATGAAACATCCCGTAATTCCAGGATCCTGTATCTGGTGCCTTAACTTCCAGCACTTTCTGTTTGTCCTGTCCTACTCTTCAGAAGATCCTTGCTTAATCTAGAAGGCTCTGTATGTCTTTTCTATGAGGCCAGGGTAGTCCATTCACTCATGCATGTTTTGGGTACATTAGCATCAATAATGAATTGATTATTTGGGGGGGGGCTTTCTTTCTTTTTTTTAAATTAAATCACCGTGAGATACAATTACAAAGCTTTCATGTTTGAGTTTAAGTCATAAAATGATCAAACACCCATCCCTCCACCAGTGCACATTTTCCACCACCAATGTACCAGTATCCCCCCATCCCACACCTCCCTCTGTCTCTATGGCAGACAATTTCTCCCATGGGGCTGGAGCGATAGCACAGCGGGTAGGGCGTTCGCCTTACATGCGGCCAACATGGCCGACCCGAGTTCGATTCCTCCGTCCCTCTCGGAGAGCCCGGCAAGCTACCGAGAGTATTCGATATGCCAGACACAGTAACAACAAAGTCTCCAATGGAGATGTTACTGGGCCCGCTCGAGCAATTCCTATTATTACTTAGTAGATCTGGGGAAAGGCATGTATTACTGATAATCTGCAAGACGGACAGGTAGCTGGACTGGTATTTCCAACAATGCCTGGTCTCAGGAATTTGGGAGTGAGTATATATCTGACAGCAGGCTGTAAGCCTATGAGGTGAAGAGCCACAGTGAGTGAAAGAGTAGGCTAGAGCAGAGTGGGATCATGGAGTCTCCGTAGAAGCCTGAACTTTCCATAACCTTCAGTCCACTCTCAATTTGTTTTCAGCTAGGCTAAACTTTCCTCAATCTAGTCTTTGATTCCCATTGACAAGTCTTGCCCGAGACATCACTGGATGCTCATGTGCTGCTCAGCTCAGTACCCTCTACCAAAAAATAGTTCTCCGAGGTCACCCCTCAGACAGACTGACATCAGCTCCATACATAAACCAACCATAATTTAACTGTTTCCTTCACTTGACTTCAGGTGTCTGCATACTTTGTGATTGAGACAACAGCTTCCTGCTAGGTCACTGTGAAGTTGATTCTGACTACATCCGTGACAACATATACTCAGCTTTCATCTACCTCAGTTTCACCCCACATTCTCAGTGGTAGAGGTAGGAACCCCAGTGTCTCAGAGAGTTCCCCAGTGTCCCTGAATTGTTTGTGAGAGTCAAAGATACTTGGAAATTGACAACATGTTTTATAATAGATTGAATCTCCCCCACTGGACTTGTCTGTGTTTTACTATCCAAAGTATATTGTGAAAATTTGTGAACTGTCCTATTTAATGATATCTTGGGACCCAATTCATTTCTCCCTGACTCCCTGAGTTTCTTCTCTCTCTCGTTTCCCATCTCCCTTCCAAGAAGGTCTAATCCAGTTGTTTGACCTTCAGGAAAAATTCTGAGTCTGGTTCATAGTTGCCAATGACAAACAGGATTTATCTGGTGTCTAAAAGATTGAATTAATTGGATGATGGGATAGGACCTCAGTTCAGAACTCTCTTCGACCCTTTAGCAAAGCCCAATGACACTGCTGTTTATAAGAATACACATAGATGTCACATAATAAATGATTAGCTCTTTATTGAGAAGCAATAGTTACAGGGAGAGGAACTCACATGGTCTGTGCTGACCTGGGGAAGGTATATCAGGGTTTCAGGTAGAAATATGGGAAATAGGGTGTGTGGGTGAGGAAGGTCCTTGAGTGGGTTTTCTCAAAGACCTAAGAACACTCTGAAGGGCTCACTGACTTCACCACAGTGTTGACTTCGTGCTCGACCTCGCAGGTGTACGCGTTGTGAGATTTCCAGTTGTCGGGCGTCAAGCTCAGGTAGCTGCTGGCCACATACTTGTTGTTACTCTGTTTTGTTGGCTTGGTGGTCTCCACGCCCTCCTTGATGGGTTTGCCATCTTCTTTCCAGGTTACCGTCACAACACCCGGGTAGAAGTCGCTCATCAAACATACCAGTGTGGCCTTTTTGGCCTCAGCGATCTCCTCAGAGGAGGGTGGGAAGAGAGTGACTGAGGGTCCAACCTTGGGCTGATCTGCAGTGGTAGGGAGGACGGAAGGTCAGAGATGGGTTATCTATCATGGGAACTCCTGAGCTCGGTGGTCCAAGGCAGGGAGCATGTGTTGGGATGTTCCTCAAAAGAAATCTTCCAATCTTCCCAGGAACCCTGAGTCTGAGTTCTTGCCAACACTTTTTGTGGCAACCTCTTGACTTCTTTTAATGCCCCATCAACCTCCTGTCCCTGCCTCCTCTGACTGCCAGATTTACTGTCCCCAGAGGAAACTATGTGGGCTTTATACTAGTAAAATCAAAGTTTCTTACTGTCAGATCTTCTCCAGGAACCTGTGGACTGGACTGTGGCTCTATTATTATTATTGTTATTTAAAACTAAATCTGTATTGTAAAATATCAATAGCAATTCCAAGTCATTTTTCCCAGGTGAGCTGATTAAACTACCCCCACCAGCTGCCTCAGGCTTCACCGTGTTTAGCCAGAGTCAAATGCTCTCTCTTCTTGCTTCTGGAGTTGAATTCGGGTTCTGATCCTAACCTTCTAAGTCCTTAGTCCCACCTTCAGGCCTCAAGTTATTTTACTATTTTGAACCCCAAAATCTCTCCTCTGTTCACTGGGGTCCTCTACCCAGGCTTCCAACAAAATGACGACAGTGTCCAGAAAAGGCAATAGCCCACAGTTTCTTCCTACTCTGGGTCTTTTGATATTTTACCTCCTAAGTCTCATCTTTCTTCACAGGGCTTGGTCCTTCCAGCTAATACCCTGTAAACTTCCTCCCAATCCTCTATACCCCCTGTACTTAGGGTTCTGGCTGCAGAATCCTTTGTTTGGACTGTGTTCTTGGGGCTGTACCCATTGAAAAGAGGTATGGTTATTTTTATTGTGCAGCTATTCTGTTTCTCTGAGTCCCCAGTTACTCTCCTTTTTGTCAGCTCCTGATTCTAAAATGCCTTTCTAGGGAAATGGAGACTAAGTCTTGGACCCATGAGACATCAGGTCTCTAGGTATGTTGAGACTACAGGGACAGATAAGACTCTCCCCAGTTTCCATTCTTTTCTGACCACTGTCCCGGGAGCACCTGGCTCTGGTCACCTTGTCAAGTCTTATCCTTGATCCCTGTCATTCCTCATAGTCCTGTAGAGGCCAGAAGAATTCAGACTAGATAAAGAGGGAGCTTTCTCTAATCCCTCCACAGGACACAGTCCAGCTGCCTCTGTTCTCAGAGGCTTGGACTACAGACCTCCTGTGTGGCCCTTGCTCCTTAGATGGGCACAGACCCCAGGGGTTGGAGAATATCTGTAAGACTTAAATCCTGAAAGAACCAGCCTCTTTCCTCACTCAGGTTCTAGAAATGGAAGGTCCCCCATTTTCTGATCAAACTGTTAGCTCCAAGACCTGACCTAATCACACTACCAGACAGCTACTCCTGCCAATGGGGTGACTACTGAGAAACAAAACTACCTTTTCTAGACCCCACTGAAAAAGTTAAGGGCGAGTCCTTAAGACTGAGATGGGGGTTTGTAAAGGGAAATCAACCCCTCCAGCGAGAAAAGTGACTTTTCTGAAATAGCAGAAGAATAAAACAGTTAGAGAATGGTAGTAAGATGCACTTACCTAGGACGGTGAGCTTGGTCCCGGCGCCGAAGATATAACACAGTGACTGAAGCTCAGACTAAAACCTACTAGGCCAGCACCTGGCATCTCTCTCCCCTGGGAGCTAAGCCTGAGTGGGAGTCTGCTATGTATGACCAGCTCAATAAGCAACAGAAGGCGGAGCTCTGTCTGAGTTGCCAATTCCCCTGAAGTCAGAGCGCATCAGGGTGGGCCCAAGGCCCAGACACAGCCCCCATCCAAGCCAGGTTTGACACATGTCTCTGGAATCACCCTGAGGACACCTCCCACCTCTCCCAAAGCTCTTCCAGTCACCAGTCACTCCTCAGTGGTAATGGTAGGTGCCTAGTGTCATAACATCTCAGGTCTCATTTTAGGGACTTGGAGTGTTTCTTACCAACAATTTCCCTAGGCTCAGAAAATTACTCTCCAAGCCAGAAGCCTGGTGTCATCCCAGAATGACTTTATTTATTACACTCTATGCCTTAGACAAACATTCTATAACATAAACACACACATATACCATTCAAATACTTAGAAAAAGTAAAAACAATACTAAAATCACATGCGAAGAGTTTATGACAAGAAATTCTCAGGTTTTTCAAAATCTAACGTTATCCCTAAAATAAAGCTGGAAAATAATTCATTGCATTCAAGCCATATTTTATTTTTCACTTCAGCACTAGACCTTTGACCGAAGATTATATTTAAGATGTGCATTTAAGATCTGTGATATAGGAGCCCTAGAGCTAGTGCCAGAGGGCAGAGCATTTGTTTTGCCCAACCTGGGTTCAATCCCCAGCATTACATATGATGCCCCAAGCCCTTCCAGGAGTGATCCTTGAGCACAGATAGAGGAGTAATCCCTGAGAACCACTGGATATGGCACAAAAAATAAAACAAACAAACAAAAAGGACTTGTGAACAAAATTTAACATAAGAATAATATAAATTCAATATTTGTTTCTGATTAAGACACAAAATATTCAACATTTCAGCAGGTTAATTATATAAGGCAATTTTATCAACTCCAAAAAGACATTCTCCTGAAACTTAGAGCAACCTCCACATTTAAAAGTAGAAGTTCAAGTTGCCCATTTCAGCCCATTACTCAACAAAAAGTTTCTATAGATTTACAAGAAAATACAAGAAAATACAACCAAGTAAATGGGGAAAATGTGCAAAATTATGACTGATAAGTTGACAGAAAAGTCTGTTAAATTTTCATTAAATTTCAATTGGAAATTAAGTTTTGCCAACAATCAAATAAATAATGACAAATATGTTTTTACTTTGGCTCATCAGATAAATGTTGAGAAAATCATTATCAATGATACTACATTATTGGCAAGAAGGGTGAGGAAAGGGTACCGTCATTATTGTAGGGAATGTGAGTTGGAACAGCCTTTGGGAAGGACAACTGAGCTCTCTCTATAGGTATCTCAAAAGCTTATTTTCTGTAAGTCAGGAATTTCACCATCCAGCATCAATGTATGGAGATGTAGAAATGCACTTTATAGAAACACACAACACATGAATTCCCATTACCAAATCATTGTTAAATTATATTTTTAAACAGAAACAACCTTAATATTCATTAATAGGGGAATGGTCAACTTCCTTCTGTCTCATCCAAACATGGAAACCTTATAAAACCCTTATGAGATTATGAAGATTTGCCTTGTATAAGGCCCAACTGGGTTCAATCCCAGATAATACCTAGGGTTTCCTGGGCCCTATGAGGAGTGATCCCTGAGCACAGAGCCAGGAGGAAGCTCTGAGCACAGCTGCGTGTGACCCCAAAACTTACACACACCAAAGAGGTAAAATATATCTTCTTAAGTACGTAATTTTCACAACTACATAAAATCACAAAGCATACATTTTGACAGGTGAAATCCCACAAGCCAGAAATATACCATTGAGATTTTTCTGCATTTTCTGACAGACTTTTGAAAATGCACATACACTGTAAAGAATGTTTTAGGTATGTAATTTTGAAGATCTGTGTATAATTCCTTCTGATAGATGTAACACACTGTACTTAGTTACACCCTTCTGCAGAAGGTGGTTTTTAAGGTTTTTCCCCCTCACCATTAATAATATTGATTTAATTATTGTGGTTTGTGAAACTTTAATAACATCTTTGATATTTTTTCCCGAGGATGGGATCCGAGAAGTTGAATGTGCTTTCTTATATAAATGACTTTATATTGCTGAAATGGTCATACATCTCTATAGACAGTCCATAGAAGTGACAACCCCCTGGTTACCACTCTGGCACCATCACTTTAAATTTATTTGCCCATTTCATGGAAGATTTTACCTCCTGGTTCCAGTACTTCATCCTTCCTCCCCACCCACAAGGCACAAAGTAGACTACCATCAGTTTTCCATTTGAAGTCAGTGGTACAAGTCAGACTTTAAAAGTCCCCTGCTTAAATCCCTTGAAATCTCCTTGGGGTCTCCAGGGTAAAAGATGGGCACACAAGAGGCCCTTGTCCCCGGCTAAATGAGCTCAGCAGTACCTGCACCCCACTGTCCTCTCAGCACACGCTGCTCCTTTACTCAGAATGCTCCCCTGACAATTTTGTCTTCTTCCATCTGTATGGCTGGGGCATCCAGTATTTCCTCACCCCTCATTACTTCTAAAATGGCCCTGGGTCTGCCCTTGTGACTTCCATTGCATTCACCCTCCCTGTATCCCCAGGCCTGGTTTTATAAACATTTGGGAACTGGTTCAGGAATCGAGGCCTTTGGCGGAGACCAGGTGAACCCTTCTTTCCCTTTCTAGATGCCTAGCACACACCCTTCTCTTGGACCATTTTTGTTAAGTCACAGAACACATTGATAGTGTTCTGTCCCAGGACTTTCTACAACACTGGGACTGTGCAACATGCCTGGGGCAGGTCCCCTCACATCTCTGAGCCTCTTACCCCTGTTGGTAAAGTGGGATGACAGTCAGACCTGCCTTATGGGGCCACAGGAAAGAGGGGTCTGTCGTTACAATAAATAATACTTGTTTAATAATAATAGTAATAATAATAATAATCTCCTTCAGTGGTAGGGCGTTTGCCTTGCACGCAGTCAACATGGCCGAGTCGAGTTCGATTTCTTCGCCCCTCTTGGAGAGCCCGGCAAGCTACCAAGAGTATCTCGCCCACCCGCACGGCAGAGCCTGGCAAGCTACCCGTGACGTATTCGATATGCCAAACACAGTAACAACAAGTCTCACAATGGAGACGTTACTGGGTCCGCTTGAGCAAATTGATGAACAACGGGAGGATTCTTCCTTTCTAGTTTCAGTCCTACCTGGAGGTCCAGGGTGAGGTCATACGGTAAAATATTGCCAAATTTAAGGGGTGCCAAGATAAATCATCAAGGTAAATTATATCTTTCTTTTTGTTTGTTTTGTTTTGTTTTGGGGAAGACACACCTATTGACACTCAGGGGTTATTCCTGGCTCTCCAGTTAGGAATTACTCCTGGAAGTGCTCTAGGGACCACATGGGATGCCAGGGACTGAACCCAGGTCACCCACGTACAAGGCAAATCACTCTACTGTTCTGTCACAATCACAATTGCTGTACAATCATTCTGGCCCTATGTCTTAGGACAACCTTAAAAAAATCAAAAGCTGTAAGTGCAAGTAAACCCATGATAAACAGAATGTCACAATTTAAAGAAAGCCCAAGTGCCTCTTCTCGGGCTCAACCTACTTTCCCCCCACTCCAAGCAGCCCATCGCTGCCACTCTCAAAGGTGGCCCCTCCTGGCGCCTGCCTCAGAGAACCCCACATTCTCCCCACAGGATTCGCAGGACTCCTTACCTGTCATGAAGGCTTCTTAGGCTGAGCAAGCTGCTTCAGTCGGGCCTCTGCTGCTCCAAACTCAGTTCCAAAGTCTGGCTGTGAGGAACATGTCAGGCCATAGGCACCCAGGGCCAGGCCCAGCAGCCTCCAATCAGCGCTACCTGGGGCCAGGGCTCTACCTTCACAGCCAACGATGACTCGTACTAAGCTTCTTCTAGACTCAGGGTCAAAGGGACATCCTGGGCTCTCGGCTGGAGAGGCTGCATTGCTGTCCTTTGCCCTGCCCACCGGCAGCAGTGTCCTGCATGGTCTTCTCCTCTGACTCCAGTGCCAGAACCTGATCCTCTCTGGGGCACCTAATTATAACTCCAGGGGATCTCTCTGAATGTCATCTGCCAGTTTCCCTGGTGTGGTCAAGATCTGGGGCTCAACCACCTCTGGGGGGGTGGGGGTGGGGCGGGGGAAGCAGCTGGCGTAGCTCCACCCCTGCAACCCTGGGAGGGGTGGGTTCAATCTGTCGTTAAACTGTGGGTTTGGCCCCAGCCTTTGAAGCGTCTCTCTTCCACCTGAGGGTACTGGGAGGATAGTTCAGTGACCAGTGGATCAGGAGACCTGAGACCTGAGGTTCTAGGGCTGGGGCTTCTCTTCTGACGTTCCAAACGGGCTGTTCTCCTACACAGCTCTGCTTCAGCCAGTGAAATGTCCTTCCTCCACTTGGTGGGTCAACATGCCACCTCCACACTCAGCTTCTCAAGCAAGCAAGGGCTTTGCAGGGAATGTGTCTATTGCGCCCGCTCAAGGAGTGACTTCAAACTTGTGAATATGGAGACTATCCAGACTGACTCTGGGCTTCAGTTCCTTGATCTGGAAAGTGAGAGTTCCTGTCCCAGGGAGGTCCTGAGGATGAACCAAGATGAGTAAGTCCATGAAGGTTATGAACCTTCTCCCCTTCCTGTGGGCTGCACATGTTTGGTATGTCCTGGAGTGAAGATTTGTTCTACAGGTAAGAAAACTGAGGCCTGGAGATGAATGCAGGGTTCAAGATCGTTTTGGGAGTGTGGGTGACCTAGAATCTAGGGAGCGAGTGAGCTTGTCCCCTGCCCATCAGAGAGCTGTGCAAGAAAGCTATGGTTTCGGTGCAGCTGGGTATGAGTGCAGGGGAGTGGACTGCAAAGTTGTTTTGTCTTGGAATCTGTTTCAAAGCTCTGGAACATAATACATAAAGCAATGTTGAGAGCGAGATTGTTTATCTAGGACAGATAACATTTTATAGCTGAGACTTTCTCCCATTTTGAAGATAAGGCAATGGACATTCAAGTAGCTGCCCCATTTTTTTGTTGATGTTTTTGTTCTTTTTTTTCCCTTCTTTTAAAAATTGAATTACCATGAGATACCCTGTTACAAAGTTGTTCATGATTGAGTTTCATCATACAATGCTCCCACACCCATTTCTTCACCATGAATATTTCCCATCACCAATGTCCCAGTTTTCCTCCTACCAAACCCTTACCCCCACACAACCCAGCCTGCACTTTTCTTCTCTCTCTCTCTCTCTCTCTCTCTCTCTCTCTCTCTCTCTCTCTCTCTCTCCCCTCTCTCTCTCTCTCTTTCTCTCTCTCTCTCTCTTCTCTCTCACCCCTGCTTTTGGGCATTATGGTTTGGTTTGCAATAGGGTGCTGAAAGGTTATCATGCATATCCCTTTACTTACTTTCATTATTTAGTTATTGTCCTGAGTGATCGTTTCTAACTATCACTGTCATAGTGGTCCCTTCTTTATCCTAACTGCCCTCTTCCCTGTCCCCACTTTTGGCAAGCTTCCAACCACGATACACCCTTTTCCTGAGGCAACACAGCCTCTGCTCAGGGCTTGCTTTGTCAAGGACTGAACCTCTCACTGCTCCATGCCGAGTGCTCAAAGTAGCAGGTCACAAATTCCTGCTTGTCACACTGAGTGCCTTCCCTCTTTCTTTTTCTTTGTGGCCTTTCCTGCTATGAGAATTTTAATGAATCTGCTCAGGTCTGGGGCCGGAGTGAAAGTACAGCAGGGAGGGCATTTGGCTGACTTGAATTCAATCCCCAGCATCCCATATGGTCCCCCAAGCACCGCCAGGAGTAATTTCTGAGTGCAGAGCCAGGAGTAATCCTGAGCATCGCCAGGTGTGACCCAACAAGGAAAAATAAAATAAAACAAAATAAAAATAAAATAAAATAAAAAGAATTTTCACATTTAAAAATATATCTGGTCAGGTCTATATTTGCGGCCCTTTAGGGCACCTAGTTTTCTGTTTCAGCAACTCTAAAGGAAATTCCCAAGGCCAACTTTTCCAGAAGAGCCCCTCTTAGCATCATTATTCTATGTTCTGCATCAGGAACTTCATAAGTTTCCTGTTACATGTGGTATAAACTAGTGAAAATCCAACTATGTTTATTGGAGGTGACAACAGACAAACACCTGGGACTGCATCTCTTGAGGTAGCTAATTTATTGTTGAGAGGTGATGGTGTCTATACTCTCACCTTCTGCAGCCTCTGGACCTAAGGCACTGATTGTCCTGCTTTAGAGCATCTATTCAAGGATAACTGTGTAATAACTGACCTTGGAAGGTAAAGACAGAACAGAAATGATTATTAGATAGTATAAAAGGTTTGGCGTGCCCAAATTTGTGCATGCAGCTGCTACCTTTGTTACATTGACTGAGGCAGTGGTGGTGGGGGTGGAGGTGGGGGGAGGGGAAATCCTAGTTCCCTTATCCTGTCTGTATTAGTCTTCCGACTTTATTTGGACTGCCCCTCACTTTTTCAGGAAACAAAAAAAATTCAGCAAGCCCCCCTTTGCCCTCCAAAATCTATATTCTTTTATTTTCCATTTGTTTTTTTGAGCTACATGCAGCTGCTCTCAGAGGTCATTCCTGTCTGTGTTCAGGGGATTGATTGTATGGAGTTCTGGGAATTTAACCCAGGTAGGCTGCATACAAGGCAAGTGTCTTACCAGTTGTGCTATCTCTCTGGCCTCTACATTCTTTAAGTGAATACAAAATACCACCAGTTGCATGAGAAGCTGCTGCCCACTCCCATCATTCTAGTGCTTCACTGGGGAGGGGGTATGTATCAGCCACCTCAGAAAACACTATGCTAGTTAACGATGACAGTGAGGAGGAGGAAAGAATGAAGAGGTTGATGATGATTTGAACAAAGCCATCAGCAGCTTTCGAAGAACTCCTGCCTAGATTTTCCCCCTCTATAAGCATTGCTTGGGCAACTCTGAGGTCCAGAGCCAGGGCTAAGGTCTGTGTCTGTGTTTGGGCTACTCAGCACACACACAGAGACACACACAGAGACACACAAACACACACAGACACACACATCCCTGGCCTTGGAAATGGGCAAAATACTAAACTGTAATGGGGGCACCCTAACAGACATCATGCAGAATATGGGAAAAACCACGGAAAATTCTAGATTCAGTTCACCACTTGGCCCACTCTTGCCTCTCTGGCCTGGGTTCCTTGAAACTTGAGAACTGAGGAAAGTTTGCCTGACAGGGTACACCTGAAACTACTCTCTCCTGAGCACCCCTGTGCAGATGTGACACTTAGCCACTGCCTGAGGCTGTGGTTGCCCTGGGACAGCCCCAGGTCTTGGGGAGAACAAGGGACTGTCCCTAATGGCAGCATCCACAGCTGCTGCTCCACCACCCCTGCACCTGCCACAAACACTGGACAGCCACTGCGGTAGGCCACATCCTCTTGTGGTGGCTGTGGTCTGCGGTAGCTGTGGTCGGAAATCTGAGTCTTGTGGGACCTTGGGGATCCTTACAGGCTCACTGGGCTTCCCCAGAGAGTACAGCTGCGCCTAGATCTGCCGAAGCCTCCGTACACTCCAGGTCAGATTCCAGGTACGCCAAGGGCCTGATATAGACTGTCCAGAGGAGTCTGGTATGGGCTTTCCTTTCAGTGAACACCCTGTTCAGGGCGCCTGACACCTTGGTGTCTCACCTTAGTCTTTCATGAGAAGAGTCTGAGTCCTTAACTAATCACTTCTGCCCTGCTACTTGTCAGGGCAGAAGTTGGGCTCCTGAGTGCCCCTAGGTGGGATCCCCAGGAACCTTTCTGATCCTGGCTTGGAAATTGTTGGATTATAGTTCCAAATATTTTAGGCTTGACATTGGTTTGCCATTTCTCCTCCTTTCTACTACAACAAAGAGCTTAGATTTACTGTGTAACACCCGTCACAATGCTCCCAAAGCATGCCCATTTCCTCAGTATTCATCTTGAACATCTCCTTTGTTCTGCTTCCCCTATCTATTAATCACTCATTTCCCCTAAGCAGTGACTTGTAAAGTGACTTGTAAATCCAAATTCCTCAAAAATCTGATTTTGTATTTGTAAGTGAAATATTGCTTTTGTCCTTCGCTTATGTTCTTTACATAGTTTACTTCAGACCAATGCCCTTTTAGTATAGACACAGGAAGACAGCTTTTGCAACTTGGCAGTTAATTGGCTCCGAATAATATTCACTCTTGGGCATCTGCTTCCTTGATTTAAACCTCAGTTGCCCTTAGTTCCTAGCACCTCAAAAGCAGGGTCCTGAGGAGGGACTGGATGTACCCAGGGCAAGCTGTGAGCTACCCTGGCATCAAAATGGGTCAGACCAATGACTAAAATTAAGAAGTAGAATGTTTAAATGGTTGTTGGACTAAGAGAAGGAGAAACACACCCCTAACCCGTATTTGGTCCTTGAATGGATCTCCTGGCTGCAGGAGACCTTTAGAAGAGCTTCCCCAGAAGGAAGGGCCTTTACATATGTTGATTATGCTGCCTCATCTGTGTGTAATTGCTACCCCCAACCCTTGGAGAGAAGGAATAACAGGACTGAGGGAGAGGACTGATGAGAAGGATATAGGCAGTGACATTAGGAGGAGGCAGAGGAGGAATAAACGCCAATTGATCACCAACCAGTCTGGCTCCTATTTTAGCCTTCTTTCATCCATCACTGTTGGCCATTGGGGTGGGAAAACAGCCTAACCACTGAATGCATGTGGAGAGAGAGCGCACACCCCCTTTTTCTTTTGTGATTAGCCAGAAGTAAACCTTCATCCTCAGCTCTGCTCCAGAATATGGGAAGAGAATGTTTCTCCTTCTGTTGCTGTCACACAG